GCATTTGGGAAATTTGTATTCATTGATGTGGGCTTCAATGGCAGAATCAGTGACGGCGGTGTTTTTTCTCGTTCGGTTTTAAGTCGGATTTTAGATAACGATACTTATTTTCCTACTGAAGGAATAATAGGAAATAACAGAAAACTTCCTCATGTCATAGATGCGGACAATGCTTTTCCACTAGGAAAGCGTCTGATGACCCCATATAATCGAACAAATCTGACTAGAGATCAAATCATATATAACCAAAGATTAAGCCGGGCAAGGCAAAATATTGAAAGGGCATTTGGTATGCTTTCAAATCGCTTTCAAATTCTTCAAAGAAAAATTCCACTTCAGGAAGATAAAACTAAAATTATTGTTCAAGCTTGCTGTGTGCTTCACAATTTTTTGATAGAAAAGAGCGAGTGGTATAGAAGAAATATGGAAGAAATAGAAATTGAGGCCGAAAATAATACTTCCTCCAGAAACTTCAGCATTTATGGAAGGAATTTTGAAAACATTAGAAAGGAATTTAAAGATTTTTTTTTGTTCGGAAGGGAAATATGATCATATTTTTTGTCCAATAAAAATTAAGTTTTAATAAAAAAACCGAATACAATTTTTTTCTTTTCTCATTGGCATAAGTAAGTAACGAATAACTTAAAATCAAATTGACATTTTTTTGCAATTATCTATAAAGTTTATAGGAAGGAGTTTCTATTTTGTTATTATTGTGACAGAATTAGCAACGCTGTCAAGTTCGGCAACCTTCTGCGGTAGCATCTCAGCAGAAACAGAGTTTTAGGAGGTGAATACGGAGGGCGGACATGTTGCTGTTACCTGCTATTCCTTGTGACTGGTGCAACAGCCTTCTTAGGGCTCAAAACTGATGTCTAATAGCCGTATACCTAATGTTCGAATCTTAGCGCTTCATCGCTTGTTTTCTTTATTTATAATGAAAAAGTTCAGTTTCAGCTTATTTATTTGCGCTATTTTATTGTCAAAAACATGTCTTACAGTTTAATATGCCCTGACGATTCATGGTGAAATTATAACAGGTGTAGTAGTAAGGGCGAGAAGAAAACATTTACACTATCTTATTTGAACATTTGCTTGAAAAATATTTCAATAAGATAAGTCGAATGTCAAGAAATTACAGGAAATAAAGCGTGAAAACTGCTTTATTATCATGGCAGAATTATTACTACACCTGTTTTTAATTTCACCGTGTAACATTCTGAGCTTATCGATATTTATATAAATATCAATCATCTCCAAAAAAGCTGTCATTGCTTCTTGCAAAATATCGCTTTTTTCCGTCTGGTATTCTGCATGTACTATATGATCAGGTGACGGTCTAGGTACTGGAATATTTATAACAGATTCAATGTGTACTTTGGGTTTTTTTTGTATATCGGAATTCATTCGCAGTAGGTGGAACACTTATTTGAGAAAAATAATGTTCGGAAGTAGGTGAAAGAGAATATTGTGAACTGGACGTGGAATATCGCCTAGGTGAGAACGTTGAAATTTCACTCCTTTCGGCATGCAATCTATTGCGCTCATCTTCTTTTAAACTTAGTAATAAATTGTAGACGCCCGAAGTGAATTTGTAATAAGTGTCTTCGTATTTGAAGCTCTTTATTTCTTCGCAAATCATCATCGAAAAAAAATCCTCTTTCGTTTCTGACGGTATGCTGCTGTTGACAAATTTGTCTATCAAATTTAATGATTTGTCTGCAGTTTTACGCATCTTCTCTGCATAGTTATTTATGCGGGATCTCTAAAAAATAAATAGAAGCTGTGACTAGGTATGTGCATATATCAGTAAATAAAATAAACAATTGGAAAATTTACTTTTCTATTACTTCCACTACATCTTTGCGTCGGCGTAGCCGTGCCAGAGGCGCTCAGTTGGCTTTCAGTCGAAGGGCTGTTAGGCTAGAGAAATTAAGTATTTTTAGTAGTTCTCGTGGTCGATAGTTTGTAACACTTGTTATGCTTGGTGTTCATTTACACAATAACAAACGATAAAACGTGAGTTTGTACAAGCTAATAATATCTAGCTGTTACAAACTATTGACTACGAAACACAATTATTTACTAAGGGCCAGTTTTTCAGTGCTAATTTAAAATTAGATCTCGTAAACTGCATTTAAATTGAACACCTGGCCGACATTTGAATTCCTAATCTTAGTTTAAAGTAGCCAGTCGTGCACTGAAAAACTGGCCCTAAATGCTATTAATTTTCTTAATCCCCATATTTGAGATGTCAACATTGGATTCAGAATATATTTCGTCATTTGCGTTTAGCAAAAAACTGCGTTGAAGCACCATAAAGATGAGACATAAACATCATCTGCAGCCATTCTACTTCTTCTGATCATCTTTTTCTTTTCCTGCGCAAATTGCTGTTGCAGCACTTTAATTTTCCTTTTCACATCACTTGC